CCCTGTGGATAAGTTCCCTAAGGCCAGAGTACTACTAGACTACTTGATGGAATCCGATTGGCAGCCCATATATGTATTTATATATATACACATATATTTTTATATGTATGTATCTATAAATGTATAAACATAACATATATATATATAGGTATATATACATGTGTGTATATATGTATACATGAATATATATATATATATATGTAAATTTAAATATATATATATATGTAAATAGATATATATATATATGCAAATATATATATGTAGATATATGTAATATGTTTGTTTTTTTATTTCAATATATATATATATATATATATGCATATATTGATACATTTTATTTTTGAAAATAATTCATGTATTTATTTGTATATATATATGCATATCTTTGTATTTATATATGCATATATGTATATATATATATATATATTTGCAAATGTAAATTCATATATATGTATGTATGTATGTATGTAATGTAATGTATGTATGTATGTATGTATGTATGTATGTATGTATATGTATATATATATATATGTTTTTATTTTTTATTTTTATATGTATGTATACAAATGTTGAAATAATTATATATATGTATATAGGTATATATATATATGTATAAATATATGTGTACATTTGTATATATATATATATTTATGTATATATATATATATGTGTACATATATAAGTATATATAATATATGTGTATATGTGTCTATAAATGTTTATGAATGTAAATACATGTAAATATATGTACATATATGTATATATATATATATTATTTCATATTTATACATATTTTTTAAATGTGTTATATGTGTATATATGTATATATTTATTTTGCTGTATATATATATGTGTATTTGTATATATATTTTTTTTTGCAAATGTATATATATATATAATTATATATGTGTATATATGTATATTTGTAAACTTGTGTATAGATGTTTTTTGTACTTTTACAATGTGCCTATGTGTAAAATACATATTCATGGTTATGAATATCTGTGTGCGTATTTATGCGTATATCTATTTGTATATCTGCAGGTTGTTATTGCATATGCCTGTGCACATATGAATATGTATATATATATATTACTGTTATATTTACGTATGCTGTATTTGTATCTGTACCTTTATCCATTTTTTTCTTGATTGGCATCACTTTTTCATGGATCTGCACCAAGGCGGATGACCGAGACCCAGGCTGATTGGTATGGGAACTGGGAACTACTTGGTTTGGTTGCAACTAACTTTCAGATGATGCGAAAATTTGGATGCACTTTGATGTAGTTCCTTTTTCGTCCTGGTTATTAATGTTGTTTCAATTTAATCGGAGGTGCCAGGACATCATTTTTGCAGAGTGGTGCAGTGCAGTGGCTAATACGAGAGATGAAAAATCGAAGGGTTTAATGCTATATTTATACAAACGGGGAAACCTTTCTGAAGTGGAAATCGGAAACCCCAAATTTCCCAGTGCTGTTTGCTCTTAAAAGCCATTTCGGTCTCTGTCGCCAGGTTTGCTAGACGTCGATGAACCGGAATGCGCCACCCGGCAGTAAACTGGAGCATGCTACACGTCGATGAACCAGGTTTCCGTCATATTTCCTCTACAAATATGTTTTGTTTTTGGGGTCAACCACCATTTGACCAAAAAAGTGATGAGTTCAGCCGATGACAATGTGAAATAGAAGGACCTGTGCATCAAACCCTTGACCAGGGGGTGTGTACAGCAGTCACCTTGGAGATCAGCTGCGGGCAGTTGCTGCATTGCAAGGAACTACAACATCCGTGAAAGAATGGCAAACCGATTTGAGGTGCCATCGGTCGCGACCGCAGTTTCACCACTGCAAATGGGTTTGACCAAAAATAGGATACCCCCAACCCAATGATTTATCAACATTATCCCTCCCCATTAAAGTGGTCCCCATCTCCAGACACATCCACGTTGTTGTAGTTGCACTAAATTCCTGCGGTTTTTACAAGTTCCGTGAGGGTGACCAGCTGTATTGACTAGGATCGCGTTTCTGTGGATGGCTCAAGCTTGGCGTAGGGAAGAAAACAAGGCGCAACAGAAAAGTGTCAGGTTGGAAGTCTTCTGATCAATGGAGGGTAGCAAGATGTGACAGTCTTTGGAAAGATGATCCAACATTCTCCCCGACGGTTGCAGCAAAATTCCAAAATTCTGAGTGTTTCTAGTACCAGTCTCCTGTTTTTTTTTTTCCTCCATTTTGGTGCCTCAAAAACGTGGCCCCTTGGGATTCACCGGGTGCCATGGTGCCTGCCATGTTCTCCACCAGTGTGCTGGAGCGCCGCAAGTCACTGGACCCAGAGATGGTGCGGCAGCTGGAAGTCAGCGAGGGCATCTTCGTGGATAAGGAGAATCGGCCACCGAAGGCTGGAAATGGAGCCATCAAGGAAGCTGTGAAGGTGAAGGTGGGGGATGGCTATGGATTGGGTGGGTGGTTTGTCCAGTTTTTTTTTCGAACCTTTAGGGCTATTTTCATGGGGATATTGTTACGCTTGTTGTGTGTACCACATTTTCAGAACACATTTGATTTGGAGAGTGGGGTGGTAGCAGGGTCCAGGGTGGTGGGAATCAGTTTCAGAGTGGAAAAGTCAAGTAGAGGCTGAGAGAGCAAAAGATGAATGGGAGATTTTTTTATCTTTTGGATGCCATCAGGAAGGTCAAACTCCGCCATTGGAGAATGGAATCAGTGGCCCCAGCATGGATGGGTCAAAATCGCCTAAGTTTGATGTTTTGAAGTGGCTTAAGGTTTTTGGAAAGAAAGGTACAGCCCCCCTTGGTCAACCCCAACCCTGATGGCTTTGCGATTTTCTTCTCTTCATAATGGGCTTGATGGAACATGTCCAGCCAATCCGCGGTTCCAAATTCTAAAATCCACTTTCCTGCCCAACCTTTGATGTGTTTATGGGACCAAATTCCCTTCCCAAGACATGAAACATGAGCTTGATGGTTTACTGTGCCAGAAATCACTCAAATCACTGGTTCTCAAGGTATTTTGGATTCATCCCTTCAGCATCATTGCTATGAAAATTGCCACAAGTCAAATCATGTTAAATCCAAATCCCAATTTTGTCTCCGTAAATCCCCAGACCCGCCAGGATCTGGGAGACTGGTGGCTCCAGCAACGTCGTGTGGACGAGTTGCAGCAGCAGCAGAGCTTGGAGGAGCGCCGGGTCAGTCGTGATGGAGCCAAGGGCCAGTGGCAGAGACGTTGCGAAGAGTTGGAAGCGGAGAGTCAGGCACCGCGGGATGGGTCAGATATGGGGGGGCTTAAAATGGGGGATGCCCAAAAACATCCAAAAACCATAGGTTTCAATACTAAAATTTGGTCTAATGACCCCATTGTAGGAAACCTTCACATATGATGCATATTTGCATACTGACATTGATGCCCAGGTACATTCAGAGTTACAATTGTTCATTGTGTTTATGTTGAAATATATATACCTGTAACCCCAAAGAAGAAGCGGCAAAAATGAATGGGACCATGCGCTGGTCGGGGATGAATCCATCCTGCTATAAATACCAGTATTTTTGGTGTGCAAAACCAGGGTGAAAAAGTGGTCCCCTAGCAGCAGATTTCTGGTGCCCAGCTCGATTGATCCAAATCTGTGTGTTTCTTGCCAAATTTAGGATGCGAGTGAATCCGACATCATTGCTACCAAGTAATATGGTAGAAATCGTTGGCGGACTATACCCCTTAATCCCAGCCCACTAATACTAAAAATCCCCTAGAACCGATGGTTTAATAGGGGATTTCCACTTATTTGGGACCATTTACAGTAAGGGGTGTTTAAAAATTAGGGGGATGGGATTAGAAATGAACCTTTCGGGGTTTCGATTCACTGGAAATCTACACCATTCGACACAAGGCCCAAGCCAAAGAGCTATCCCAGTTGAAGGATCAGCTCAAGAGGGAGGAGGAGCAGCGGAAGGTGCGGGAGCTGCCATGTTCCAAAGGTGGGGAAACTCGAGGAATATCCACCCAAATTAGATAAGATTGTTTTTTTTGTTGTCTGATTTGCCAGACATCAACTTTGTGATTGACCAATGAATGTAATGAATGGTAGAAGTGGAATCTCAGTGCGGAAATAGTAGGGAAGGTCAACGGGATCAACTTTGTAGTTACCGTGGTATATATGGGCATGAACCAAGGCGCATGCAGCCCCTACCAACAGTGGGACTCACAAGTAGGATGGTTTCGATCTCTCAACATCAATGGATCGAAATTGAAATGGTTTGGAGAGCCCAGTAAATCTCACGAGTTTTTTTTTTAAAGTACCAAAGATTTCATATCCCAGAAAAAGGTCATTATTCCAAGCACATGGGCTGACACAGCTTGAACACACGACCAAAAGCGAAACACAACACCTCAACTTAAGGGGAATCACAAGTTGACGCCTCAACTTTTGGGGTCTCAAAATTTCAGATGTCCCAACAAAAACCATTCCCAGCGGTCCAACAATTCGCACTTGGATGACTGTCGTATTCGGCTTTGGCGGTAATAACCCTGGTTTCCCATACCTCCCCGCAGGAACCAAGGCATCCTAAGGCCTGATCCCTATTGGATCATCCCAGAAATTGTAATGACCCGGTTTACCAAGTCCCCTCGGAGTTAGCCCACGAATTCCTGGGGTCCCGTTGACAGGCTCAAGCTGAACGCTTCCAGCTGATCCTCAAAGGTTCCGAGGCTGTGGATCGTCTCGCAGGCGAGACTGGAAGCCGTTGACGCCAAGTGACACCAAGTGGCATTTCTGACCTTGTGTAACTGTTATAACTTGATGCAACTTGTGTATTCGCCTTGTATCTTGTTGTTATGGCAGCACCAACTCATCAGTCGGGTTGGACAACAATGTAAATAGTCACAGTTTCCAATTGCATCGACTCATTTGGACAAGGCTTGCAGAAGCTGCAAGAGCAAATGCAGAAGCTGCAAGAGAAGTCTTCTATGCAAGAGGACCAGTGACATCCAGTGACCAGCAGTGGTTCTGGTTGTAGTTGCGTGGTTGTCCTTATGAGATTCTTGCGTTGATTTTTGTTTGGCAATCTACTTGGGTTGAAATCCAGCTCCTAAGATATTTTGCCATGCGGAAATCAGAAACTCACCGCCAATCACTGCTGCTTCAACGATAGACCACTCTTCCAGGAAGAATTGGAAGCCTTGACCAGGTGTGGGCACTTGTTTGGACTGTGCAGGTTATCAGACTGGCCTGGCTTGGAAGTGGTGGAAGGGATGAGTTTTTGTGGATTGCAGTCTCCATTGCTGGTTGTCAGGGTCCACAGATACCGAAAGTTGAGTTGCGGAGTGTCGAGTGTCCGTTTCGGTGGGACTGACAGGCGCAACATTCCACCCCATTTTGCAACATAGCTGGTACACCTGTCCTCAGGACAAAGAAAGACGCAGAACAGCGTAGCCTGCATAGCCTCTGTACGCAGACAGATGCTGAAGAATCTGAGGTGGAGTTGGGCACTGGCGGTTCATCTAAGTGGAGATTCCATTAGACTTAATTGCTTGTAAAAGATCCGCAGATTTCCAGTTTTTGCTGATTTTCAACATTGGCAGGCTGTGGTCCATCAGCTGCAGGAGGAACGTGCCAGGGGAGCTTCCAGTTGTGGGGAGGGTGACTGGTTGGTACCGTGAAAGTCTTTCCCTTCACCAAGAAAGCATCCCTTGATTTTCACGGCAAGTTACTTTTTTGCCATCAAAAGATCACTCTATGCGGTTTAATTTTCACTTCGTTGGAAAGATATCTAACATTTGCCATGCTCAGTCGTTTATGGTTCTAAGATGGGACCTTGAGATTTCGGGTATTGTCTCACAAACGAGGGGGATGGAGTCCTGTGCATGATATATGATTGTGGGGAGATGAGCTCGAGCAAAGCCAACTTGGAAAAAGAATGCATTTGCATCTGCATGCGTGTCGGACAGAGTAAATGATTATATAATATTATAATATATTATATATGTATGTATATTATGTATTCTTCACAAACATCTTTGATTGCCCTGCATTGGAGGCCATTTCGCATTCCACATTTGTTTCAGGCCATGGCTTGTCTCACAATGGGGTATACTCCAGAAACATCCATGGGGTGTGTTGGGGTTCAATCCCACATCGTTTTTGATGACGATTTCCTATAGCGCGTTCGGTAGGAGCTGAAGACTGTGAAGGCAGAGGCTGAAGTACGTACAAAGTGCTACCGTCAGGTGCCTGAACTTGAGTTGGGCAAAGGCAATTCCAATGTTTTTCGTTGCGTGCTTGTCAAATAGACAGAAATCAGAAACTTGACATTTGGCAAATTAACCGCTTAAGCGAGACTTAGATCACATTTGCATCATTTGCAATTTTGAAGATCACGCCTAAGCTGTTCATTTCAGTACCATGGGGATAAATTCTCACCTCTTCACCATTCCCGCCAGCTACAAATTCGGTTCTTCTCAAGACCAGGAAATGGCTAGTCTATTATCTATCCATCTATTTGTAATATACGTATGTATATATATATTATATTACACACATTAGATACAACAATTGCAGCAGCATAGACCCCAAATAGCAAGAACGTATATTGGGTCTCTGTGGTGACGTATCAGATGTGGACATGTCTTTTTGCACTGGGTCTTTCACTGCAAGCTGTGGCCATAGACCTGAGACAAGACAGGGACAGCTGAGAAGTGGTGAGTGAAACGAGCAATACATAGCTGCATTCAGTGATGTTGCCAAGCGAGACAAGCAATGAGTGTTGTTGGATGTTGTTGGTGTTAGCGCGTATCAGTTGCATCATTGCAAGATTGCAAGATTGGCAGCAAAAAGGCCCGCAGTAGGTTGTGTGTTCCTACGCGCCGGAAGAAGTCTGCGAGGCAAAGAGACCACAGAGAGTTAGTCGTGACGGTGTCGCCGCAAGCTCTCAAACAATGAAAAATGCGACGCGCGAAGGTCAAAAATGCTAATTTCACGCGCGCCGCCAAACTTCCCTTTGATCTTCCTCTTCGCCGCCTGTTCCGCCCCCGCCTCCTCCCCCTGTCTCCCCTTGTTCCCTTAATCGAATACCTACAGGTTGCATTCCTGCACGCCTCCCCTGTTCCCTTTTTTCGCCTTGTTACCCCAAATACAATCCAAAAAAACACTTGTTTTGCAGTTTGCAAAACTTCTTGGCAAACAAAATGGCAGCGGCAGCCAAGAGCAGCCGAGAACGAAATCCACCAGAAAAGGGGCAATTTGGGAGACAGCTTCGGAGACAAGGCGGTAGCGGCGGCTAAGAGCGGTTTTAAAGCGAAATTTCACAAGGGAAACAGACAATAGACAAATCTGGGAGAAAGGGGGAGCGGCAGAGACAATTTGAGAAGGCGGAATCAGCCACCAGCCCATTGAAAAGCAAGAATTGCTGCAACGGACGGTATTTGGAAAAATATGATATGGTGTATATTTGATACGCATCATTTTACAAGGGCAGTTACAATGACAAACATTTCATATCATTTCATACATCATAAATGAGTATGGTAAATTGGCATTGCGTGTAAAATGAGTCGCAGGTGCAGGAGGAACTACAACGCGAGTGCGATACCTGGCAACGCCGGGCTCAGGCCCTGGAGGTGGTGCCAAAAAGTGAAGGCACGGGCCCTTGGGGATGGTGGTGGGAAACATCACCAGGAACGGTGTGGATTTGATGATTTACATGATAATATACGTGATGTATATGTATTTATGATTCTGCTATGCATCGTTGCATATTTATATACACATAACACACACACACGTGTATATATATACATATATGTGTATAAATATATATATATACATATATATATACATATATATATACATATATATATACATATATATAGATATACATATGCATGTCCATGATGTTCATGAATGTACATAGTCTCTTTTTACATATGTGAAACGTGTCTACACAAAATATCAAATTATATAGGATGCAGACACTCTGTATGGTATATGCTAATGTATATATAATCTGCTGGTATCAATGGTCGGGGTGGCAGAAACAAGGTTTTGAATTCCATCCCCAACAAGTGGATTCAGCACTAGTTAAGAAACATTGGACACACAAATTTCTACTTTTATTTTTAAACAGGTATTGAGTGTGTGAATATGCACGCAAATAAGGGTATTACTGAATTGGAGAGACAAACAGCAGCTTGGGATGGCGGCTAAACGAACTGCTCATGGTCTCTGCCACGAGAAGGATTTACTTTAGAGGGTCGTGACATAGGAGAGGTCTCACATTCAAGGACTAAATGGAAGGGTGATGTCGTCTCCGTCTATGACAATTATCAGGATGGAATTGGTCAGATTCATTTTTAGACCTGTGCAGACTGAGATAAATGCAAATGGTTATACCTCTTCAAGAAGATGTGGGGTGAGGAAACATATCGTGCTCCCCGAAATCACTACATTTATACTACTCACCACCCCTTTGTGGGTCCATTGGTATCCCAGTTTCGACCCATAAAAATTATTTGATAAATAACTCCAGTCAGGTAACTGAAATGGAATTACTGTGCCATATATTGCCATACTCTGATGATATATACAGTATGTATATATAAATATATACATACATATTGTGTATGTATACTGCGTATATCCATACATAAGCAAATGAATAGATAAACAAGTAAATGAATAAATATACATAAATATATTGTTATTGTCATTATTGTTATTATTATAATTGTATATGTGTGTATGTATATATATATATATAAATATGTGTAGATTTGGAGTGTTCCCTTGCATAAGCCTTCCACATTTCTTTTTTGCCAGTGGGCCAGGCTGCAAAGCCTGTGAAACCCTTCTTGCCGAAGGGCGAGAGCTGAGTAGCACTGTCGCCATGTTGAAGGAGACGGTTGAACCGAGCGGTGCTCCATGCTGAAATCAAAAAAAAAACTGGTAAATCTGCAAAGCACCTGAGCACCTGATGGAGATGGTGCTGATCGTGCTGTCTTGAGCCCACAGGAGCAGTGCGAAAACCTGGAGGCGGAAACCTTAGAAAGAAGGTCCAATCTGATGTGGACATGTTCCATAATTTGGGTCTTTCCGTTGCATTCCGCTTCAGTTGCAGGTCTGAAACTGAAAGAGCCTACGGCATAGAAAATATCATCGTTGTCTTCAAAGGGAACCCTTGCAAGATACAGATTTCCTTGGGAGCAAGCGGAAATGATAAAGGGTGAAGCCAAGAATAGTACCTCAGTTTTGCGATTTTTTGACTCCTTTTGGAGTCAAACAATCATTATCTCCACTTTGAGTGAACGTAACTTACCTTGGTTTGTGAGGTGGATCTTTGAATAGGGTATCCCTAAACAGGGAACTTCGTCTATTTCAAGACGCCAAATCATCCGAGTTTGCCGAGGTCGAAAATCAAAGCCTCCGCAGCAAGGTGGATTCGCTTCAGGACTGGCAACGGAGACATTTGCCCTGCGGTTTGGTGTGAATTTGAAATACAGTTGGATGGCCAACATGCGATGCAAGACTGGGAATAGTGTCCCGTAATTCATTTAGAGCTGCCTATCATTTTCCTCCGATTTGGTGATTTGGAGCCAGGCTTCTTCTGTTGTCTGACACTGCCAAAACCGATGAAACAGCCAAGTCTATAGGTCCGGAAAGGGGAACCCGACCATAGCCCGTGAATAAGTCTGCATCAGGAATTCAACAGTTTCTTCTCTACCATTCATAAGACGAAACCAGCCTCTTTTTCGTGGGAAGAAGCGCTTTCAGCCTGAACCAGCCCTTGATGGTGTGGTGCTGCAGGAGAATTTGGAGTATGTCTCCTCCTCTCACGCCGAGTTGGCTGGTCACGCCAATCACCGCCAGAAAATTCGCCACACCATTCAGCTGAAGACGGACCGGGACAATACACGGGAGGAGATGCTCAGCTGCGATACAAAATCTATGATATCTGGGGATGGTATTGCTTGGGAACATGGAAGGGAAACCTGACTTCTATGTGAGTCTTCCAGGAAGTAAGGATTGCTTGATCTTGACTGGGAAGGATGATGGTGAGGCCCCAAAGTCACATAAATCAGCCGGTGAACTTCGCACAAGTCGCTGCAATGAGGAACTTCAGGTTGAAGCAGCGGATCCGTCAGCTGGAGGCACAAGCTCACTGGAATTCAAGACATTTCCATTGTTTAAGCTTGGTTTTTTTCAAAGCATATAATTGTTGGGATATTTGGTGTAAACCTTGCGGTCTATAGTTTGGAATGGACAAGATGGGTTGCCCTGTTGTTTGGTGAAACATTTGGTATTTTCTCTTTGGGTTATTGAACTGCCATGGTCGGTGTAGTGAAATCTCGTGAGTGTTGGCTTCAGGCTGGCAGGAACAGCCAGGGGATCATCAATGCCGTGGCTGGATTTTCTGGAGCTGGGGGAGTTTCCCTATACGTGGGCATGTGAATGGGAAAATCATCGACCTAAATGTTGTCATGTTTGACTGCCAGAGGGTATTTGTATTTGGGATGCATGGTTTGTCGCATCAAATCTGGTGGTTTCGCGTAAATTTGTCCTTGCACCAATCCGACAAACAATGGAGATATACGGGTGTGTGTGTGTCAACATGGAAGATGCGGGCATGCAGGCTCCGGTTATATATTCTTAATATGTCATCAACCAACAAAGTGGAGGGATATAGCCAGCAAAGAACGGGAGATATCCAGCAAACATGACAAGGCCAACACGAGTTGGGACGTGCTAAACAAAGTCGGAAATAATTGGCAACATGAAGATACAAAGGGCAAAGACGTGGATGGTGTATATATAGCCAAAGAATGCCAAAGGCTAGTTGGACGAGATAGACTTTGAATCATTTGGATATTTCGGGCCACGTTTCAGGTACTACCTGCCAAATATAGATGAGGCTTCAGCGATATACATGTCCACCAAGGAACACATGTTTGGTTTTTGTTACTGACCAGTGACCGTCCTTTTTTTTGGGAAACGAATTGTCGGAAGATGGCCCTGCTCAAAGTAGTCTCCAAAACATTGTTTTTTTTGTCTCTTTGTTTTCTTGGGCAGGTTGCATGTAAAGGATTCTCACAAAAATAAATTTGTTATGAGCAGCAAACAACTGTCAGTTCCAAGAAAGTGAAGGATATCATGTCTCAAGAATGGCAGAACTTTTCTGCGCTCACAACTGAAACCCTTCAGGAGCCACACCTGATCCAAAGACGCCGACAGCGTCGCAGCGTTCAAAGTCTGGATTCAGGCGGAAGGGCAGGTTGTTCTGCGATGCATCTAAGATAATACACTCCAGAAATCACAGGCTTCGATGTAGTCCGGGCTGGAGCTGAAAAACCAAATTTAATCATAATTGATGGTGTTTTTTTTTTTGTTTTGAACCTTAGCAACCCAGATCGGACCATTCTTAACAAGATCCGGAGCAGAGTGGATTCGAGACAGCAGGTATAGCAGCAAAAAAAGGTAGTATTCAGGTAGGAAGCAAATTAGGGACTACAATGTACGATGACAGTTCTGTGTTGGTCATATATGTATGTAGTATGTAGGTAGTATATAGGTAGCATGTAGGTATAATACGGAAGTACGCAGTTCGCAGTTCGCATATTACTATTTTATAGTTGGTTATGTGGCAGTGTGTCAAAACCTTGTACCCTTGGTGAACATCAAAATAGCTGGTAAGTGGATGTTCATCCCCCTAAAAATGGTATTAATAGGTATTGATCCATAGCCATTTCATGTTATGTCTATATCTCGTAGCTTGTTGCATGTACTGTAGCACATATAGCCCCCACCTTGCCAACTGGAGATGCCAAGCTCTGCAAATGCAGGCAGCCACGCTTTAGCGGTTTGGAAACGAATCGAGATGCAAAGGCCAATGGATTGGTGGAGGTTTTCCATGGCACATTGTTTGGAACCTTCTGAGACGACACAAAGCATATTATTTTGAATAAAAAGTGGCATGGCCATCATGGCATCCGGACTACTTGGGTCTGTTCTAGATAAAGCAGTAGAGCATACTATTCGATCTACTTGGCATCTCTCTAGTATATACGGACACTTTCTGGTGATTTACAGAAGGCACGCGACCCTTGCCAGAACAGGCAATCAAGGTGATGATTTGATCTTCATCGCAATTTCTAGGAGGTTCAAATTTTTGAAGGCACTGAGGAGTTCGGGTAAAATCAGTACCTATTCTGCAGTATGATCTAGGGGATTGCAACTCACATCCAGATGATTTTGGGAAACTCGCACCATGACAGGAGATGATGAAGATTCAGCAACTGGAGCAACTTGGTGCGATGAAGGATTCGGGATTCCCAGACATTCTCAGAGTGACTGCCATTGTAGGGAAACCATGAATCATGTCACCATTTTTCTTAGGAATTCAGGTTGGAAAAGTGGGTCAAACCTTAGTTAGCCCTTTTCCAGGCGGGCCCCTTGAAAAGTCAGAATGCTTACCCAGAGGCAACATCATTTTTGCTGCAAAGTCTTTGGTTCCACTTTCGACTCAACATTGGAGGTGAAATTCCAAGAGTCGAAACAAATGACATGTTTCTCCCTGTCCGTTTGGCCTTGGCAACCAGCACCAGGCACCAGTTGGAGAGGAACCGAAACAACGTGATGCATTTCCTGGTCCTCATTGAGCGAGCTGTGTTGGGGACCCTGTTGGGCCAAGTGACTGTTGAATGCGGACGTAGAATGGGGAGAACTGGTCATAGGAATAGTTTTCGGGCCTTATTATTTGTGATTTTGGTGACAGTGATACCAATATTTAGGATTATTTAGGTTGGATTTACTGACTGTGGAACAATGACGAGTGCTTGACTACTGGGATGCTGGTACAAGCAAGAAACAAAGGAGCAAAAATTGGGCCTACCAGCAGCAAGAGTTGAAGCCTAGTTCCTCCAGCAAAGGTGAGGGCTACAACCACCGGAAATGTGGATAGAACTAACAGAAATAAATGATGCGAGACACTCCAAGATTTTTGGGTTGGCCAGACATTGACGTTTGAAACCACCATGGTTTGGAAGATTGCCCTCAAACCTTTGGCTTCCTGGAAAACCCATTGTCAAATTTCAATCTAATAATATTGGTCGTGAAAATTAGAATGATTACCAGATATTTTGATTATGAAAAAATCCGATATATTTAATCTAGTCTATATCATAGTAATCTAATTTTCATATATGGTAAGGTTGTAAACCCAATGCCATGTTCTCTACCATGACTGGGGATGATTTTTACCACCTATTTAGTGCGTGATGTTGGGGATGGTTTATTATTGATTCATATCCCATTGATGTGGTAAACCCAATAATGAACCATCCCCAATATCACAAAAAAAATCACTAATAGTGGACCCCTATTCAGGATATTAATCGAATATCTATTGGTTTTAATGGGAAAAAACATTAAACAAATCAATGCTTGATTCCATTGCAGGGCACAGGGCGATGGTGCGGCCAGCGATGCTGCCACCTTACTGGGGGCCCTGCGATCCAGGTGCCGTGGCTGAACCTGAAATGATGGGGGTTCACCAGCAAAAATATGGGGATTGATTCATACAAGATGGGATTAATCTGTAGAAAACTGGGAGGTAACAATCAAACATTGATTATTTAACCTCTGAAAATTGGGGTTTAACCTACTGGAACTGGGATCCAACAACCTATATAGACCGCGGATTTACGCTGCGAAAATTCGAACTTGACCAACGAAAAGGGGGCTTTAACCCAGGATAGCAGACATTGAACCAAGAAATAGAAGTTACATAGCATAAGGATGAGGATTTCTTTTACTGACAAAACAGGCGATGTGTCATACTGAGGATCTTTGTGAAGCTGCTCATGCAACACGCATCCAGCATGAAATAATATGTTATATGGATCTGGGTCAAAATTGAAGGCGCAGGAAAACCATCGGACGGATTTGATCATTTTTGGTATCAACCATCGTCTTTCTGGTACCCAATGTCAACTCTTAACCCAAACAGTTTGGTTCCCTCCACCAAAGGTTCCTGAGCTGAGTTGGGCTTCAAGTCCGCTGGCAGAAATTGTGTTTGTGGCTTCCTTGGTATCCTCCGGATGATGGAGAAGAGTCTGAGGAAATTCGTAATTCAGGTTCTGCAAACCTGGTGCATGCGAAGGTGAAAGCAGCAAGAAGAGGCGATGTCAAATCAAGAACAAAAAAGCATTTGGAATTCCATGAAAAACAAATGTCACTTTTCGTTGGCACTTTTGGGCTTCGCCCAAAATCTATGACAGCTTTGACCCAGATCAGGTCGGTTTCTTCCATGTTGTTACTTTGTTTGCCCAGAAGGAATATGCCACAGGACATCCCCTGGGCGGCTGATCAGGCTGTCCCCCGACTGTTTAAGGCCCCGCATATGCCGATGCGCGGCAGCTGACCTGGGCTGGTGGTGAAAAATCGGGCCGAGAGGTTGTGCAGTTTTATGGTGGAATCCATTTGTGGGAGATACGGGATATAATATTGAAAGTACGTATGAAAACTTCCAGTGATGATTGCTGGTTGGGGGCTCTACCAGGATTCAAAAGGGGATTTGTCGCTTTGTACGGATGTGTGAATTCGCTTTGAAAGCAGCTATTGTAATGCATTCAGTTCGCAAGTGTTGGTTGGATGCGCAAATCCCATCAAATCCCTGTGATTTAGTTGGTGAGGATTTCCCAAATTTCTTTGGGGGGGTCCGTCTTTATTGGACCTATCCCCAAAATTTCCCTGGGGCAGGTAGATCAACGGGCCGCACTCTTCGGCAGCCGATTTCCAGGCAATACCGCGGATGCACTGGGATGGGAAAAGATTGGACTATTTATAGTAAGATTTTATGTAAACAAGATATATCAAGATAGAAAAGCAGATTCCAACTTATACAGTGATGAATCACTTTTCTATCTCATCTTTTTTGGGTTCCTACAATATTTAAACTGTTGATGCCTCAAGACATGAAGACATCTTGCGGGTGAAGACCTATGGCCTATGGACCCAGATGTCAATCTTGAAGAGATATCGCGAGATCGTACTTTTTCGAGGATGTTTTTTTAAGATGGTGACTTGAATGCTGTGGGCTTAGGTACTCTGGCGGATATGTGAAACAAGAAAACATGGTCATAGGAAGGTGTGGTGGTTCAAGGCACCATGAAGATTTTGACCCTGTGAAGGCAAGGCGGGTGCTGGATCAAAGCAGAAGGATGATATGTATGCAGCCACCTCGAGGCCCGAACTGGAGAGGAGGTCTATGGCAGTCTATGGCAGTCTATGGGCTAAGCACCATGGCACCGGTCCAAGCTACAAATCCTTTGGGTTTTTCAACAATTTCCTCTGGTCCGTAGGATCTGTGTTTTCAGTCCATCGCCCTGCAGGGAGATGATGGAGCGTCAGAATGATCAAGCCATCGAGGAGCGATTTCTGGTGCCGTCTCGGTTGGGGGACTTTGGAGGCGTTGTAAACGTTTGGACCGTCCCAGGGGCCCAGGGGGTTTCCTGGAGATTTTGGGACCTACCCCTACCCAGAATTCATTGGGGACTTTGGGACCATGTCCACCGGAATCCCCACGTGATCCCAACAGCTCCTGTGAGGACCTCGAAGCCAAGGTGGGCCAGCTGAAAGATGTGACCAGGAGCGCAGCTTGAGATGGGTTCATGGTGGGAGTTTTTTTTTTTCAAACGGCGTGTGGCATATGAAGTCTTCGGAGCCAAACCAGGGTGTGAGCTTGTGTACGACTCCCTCACTGTAGGAAATCAAACAGTGGGACTTTGGAAGTCTACCAGAGCCGTCCATGCGTGTCATTTGGCTCGCAGTATGTTGCGACTTTGCGAAACCAGATTTGATCTCACATGTGATCATTTCTTTTGCCCAGGCCACAAAGGTGAACCAGGGAACGAGTTGGTTGACACTCTTGCGCGCTGCGCTGCTCTGGGCAGCCCACTGCAAGACTGGCAACACTTCATTTCCTTCACACAAAAAAGCCAGTTTGTCAAAGCTATTGAATGGGCTTGGATGTTGCACACACAATGGAAAGATGCAGAGTTAGCCAGCACAAGTTGGACGTGTCCAGCGAGGCCGTCCACGCAGCCTGATCTGCATGTGTTGCCGTCTAGTGACAGCATTGACAGGAATCCCAGCGTCCTACAATTTACATTCCAGTTGAGAGTCGCCACTTGCAACATTCTCACACTCAAGAGCAGATCGGCAAAACAACACTGTACTATCACGGGGACAGATGGCCCTGCAAGGCTTGAGTGGATTTTGAGAAGTTATGATGATTTGGGTATCCACATTTTTGCGCTTCAGGAAACCAGGATGCGTACAGTAAAGCAGACAGCTGATGATAGGTACCACCTGATCAAGAGCCCAGCAAATGAGTCGGGCCAATTTGGCATGCTGGTTGGTATTTCCAAGACCCATCCTTTTGCTAGCCAAACTGCAATTGAAGGAACGGAATCAACAAGTGACCTCTTCTTTCAAGAAAGTGATTTCACTATTGTTGCGACCACACCGCGCTCATTGATTCTCAAAGTGCAACGGATAGGGTTTCGCTGTATTATCATCGCTGCCCATGCTCCGCATACAGGTGCTGCGCTGTTGGAGATTGAAGAGTTCTGGCACTCCATTGATTCAAGTATCCCTCATGCTTTTCATGATTGGCCCAAACTTGTGCTTGCAGACGCCAATTGCCGGCTTGGTAGCCAACCATGTGACCGCATAGGTGACTGGCAAGCTGAAATCATGACAGACAAAAGTGAACCCTTTGCTCAATTTGTGGCGCGATCAGATGTGTTTTTGCCATCCACCTTTGAAAGACTGCACACGGGAGAAGGTGGAACGTGGCAACATCAGTCTGGATTGTGGACGCACAACGATTATATTGGTATTCCCTGTTCATGGCCTTTGCAGACATGCATGTCCTGGATCCCAAGTGAAGTTGATTTCTCGATGATTAAGGAAGATCACCGCACAGTGTGTGCGGAAGTTGCGTGGACGATTTGTGTTGCCTCTGACAGTCGTTCTACCAATCAACGTGGCAAGCCTCATGTTTATGAATTTTGCCCACGCAAAATTGGGAGGTGTGCAGGCAGCACATATCCGGATTTTACCGTTGATGTTCACACTGATGCTATTAACATCCAGGAAACACTGCTGACATGTAGAGACAAGAAGAAGAAAGCGCCCAGGAAGCCACGCAAAGAGACTCTTTCTGCACATACATGGGAGTTGATCTGCACCAAGAAGCAATGGCGCAATAAGCTCCACGAGAACACCAGTCTGCGGAAATCTACCCTGCAAGCTATGGTTTTCGCTGCTTGGCGACTTAGTCGCTGGGAACAAGATGCCACTCCGCATGTCCAGGGTTTTGACCACCTTCTTTGCCAATTGGATTGTGCCATTGCACAAGCTCTGCATTGGTTTCAACGGCTAGGCGCAGAGGTGACACGTGCTCTGCGGCATGATGACCGAATGTTCTTTGCTGGACTTATGCAGGAGGCGTCGGACTTCTTGGCGCCAAATCATGTCAAAGATATGTGGAGAATCATTCGTCGCCACTTGCCAAAATTCCGATCTCGCAAGATAGGTCAAAATCCGCAGAAGATTGAGCTTTTGAAGGATCAGTGGGTCCCTTATTTTCAGCAGTTGGAGGTTGGTGCAACTCATGATGCTGCTGTGATTGTCGAGACCTGCCACGCACGCCAGAAGAACATGCCCATTGTGCAGTATGACTTCCAGCTTGATGATCTCCCCTCGCTCATTGAAGTTGAAGATGCTATTCGGACTACCCAGCCAGACAGATCTACAGGGTTCGATCCCCTACCGTCTAGCCTTTTCCGACGGCATGCAGTGGATATTGCCAAGATGTACTTTCCTTTAATTTTAAAGCAGTGTTTATGGCAGAGCGAACCACTAGCTTCGAAAGGAGGTCAAATGGCAGTAATCCACAAGCGAGGATCCTCCTTGCTAGCTGAGAACTACAGGGGTATCATGCTTTTGCCCACCATAGCTAAGCGATTTCATGCCCTGATCCGCTCACGTTTGATGGAACGTCTGCACAGACAGAGACCAGCCGGTCAGATTGGAGGGTTTGCTCATATGCAGGTCCCTTTTGGATCACAGCTTCTTCAAGTCTTTGGACGTATTATGGATGCACAAGGGTTTTCATCGGCCATTGTCTTCTTTGATTTGACTAATGCGTTCCATAGACTTCTCAGGGAACTAGTCTCGGGCATCCATGTGCCGGAGGCTATTGATGAAGTGTTGCAAGCATTAGATGCTGAAGGGGTGCCGGTGCAGGAGGTTGCAACCTTGCTCGACCTGCCCCATCTGTTGACGCAACTGAATGCCCCACCTTTTTTGATCCAGCTGTTGCAAGATTTGCATACCGATACATGGCTCAAAGCTCCGGGCGATGAGCGGTTCATTATCACCAGACGTGGCACACGTCCCGGCTCCCCGCTAGCAGACTGTATCTTTCATATCCTGATGGCAGATGTTACGAAAGATATCAACTCCTGGATGGGAGAGCAGGTGGAATTCCAGAACATCCTCACAGAGCTGGATATTGAGATTGAAAGCATTGTCTGGGCAGATGATCTGGCCTTGCCGCTTGCCTCTAAGCATGCAGACCACCTTCCCCAGTTGATTGAGTCTGCAATTCGCCATGTTCATCGAGTTTTCTTGCAGCGGGGGTTTTTATTAAATTTTAGCAAAGGGAAGACTAGTGTGGTAGCCACCTTCAAAGGGAGCGGAGCAGCGGAGTTGCGCCGACAATATCAATTGAGTGATCGACCAGGATTCACCCTGGCATTAGGGGACCAGGAAGCCTTCATCCATTTTGTTGCACATTACAAGCATCTGGGAACCATCTTCAGTTCTTCCCATTCACTGGATCTGGAGATTTCTACTCGCATCGGGATGGCCCGAGGAGCATTTGCTCAGTTGGCAGCACCTGTGCTTTGCAACAAACACATTCCTGTGCACACCAGATTGCAGATGTATCGTGCCCTAGTGGAGTCGAAATTGTACTTTGGATTAGGAGCCTGGGCACCCACCACAGCCCGGCAGAACGCTAAAATCCAAACTGCAGTGCTTTACATGTTAAAGCGTGTGTTGAGGCTCAGCAAGGAAGAGCACGAAACGCTTACCACAGCCGATGTTTTCCATCGA